GATGCAGGAGGAGTGACCGATTTCTTATGGATCTCGGAAACTTAAGCCTCATGAGCTTAATTATCCAACACATGATTTGGAGTTGGCAGCAGTGGTCTTTGCCTTACGTATTTGGAGGCATTATCTGTTGGGTGAGTCCTTCAGATTATTTAGTGATCACAAGAGTCTGCAGTACTTGTTCACTTAGCAGGAGCTGAATATAAGACAGCACAGGTGGTTAGAGTTTGTAAAAGACTATCATTTTTCTATACAATACCATCCAGGGGAAGCGAATAGGGTGGCGGATGCGCTCAGTCACTGACCTGTTGGTAGTCTTTCTACTTTATCCACCACTGAGTGAAATGCTTTGAAGAATGTGGATGAGTTGTCAGACGCTTTTATAGATTGCATGGTGGTTACACCTTCCATCATTCGCAAGGTTTATAAGCACAACTCACTGATCAGTAATGTATCGACAATGTTGCAGAGATAGCTTCTGGGGAGGTTCCATTTTATCCTGTTGAGGCTGATGGAGGTTTAAGGTACAAGGGACGGTTAGTGGTACCTTCTGCTGATAATTTGAGGAAGGATGTGATGACTGAGACTCATCACTCTGAGTTCTCGGTTCATCCAGGAGGCGATAAGATGTATCAAAATATGAAGCGGCAGTTTTGGTGGGCAGGTATGAAGAGGGACATTGCTCTTTTTGTTTCTCAGTGTAATACTTGTCAGATGGTTAAGATTGATCATCAGAGGCCGTCAGGAGCTCTACAGCCACAACCGATACCGGAGTGGAAATGGAAGAGCATTTCTACGGATTTTATAGAAGGGTTGCCAAATTCTTTCAAGGGGCATAATTCCATATGGGTCATTGTGGATAGGTTGACCAAGTTAGCTCATTTTTTTGTCTATTTGCACTGACTACACTTCGGAGCAGTTGGCGAGGCTTTACATTTCAGAGATTGTGAAGCTACATGGCATTCCATTGTCTATTATATCGGACAGGGATTCGAGCTTTGTATCTGGATTTTGGAAGAGTTTTCAGCAGGCTTTAGGTACGAAGTTACACCTTAATATTGCTTCTCATCCTTAGACTGACGGACAGATTGAGAGGGTGAATCAAATTATGGAAGATATGTTTCGGTCGTGTGTTCTAGATTTCAAGGGCCACTGGGAGGAATATTTGCCACTTGTGAAGTTTGCTTATAACAATAGTTTCCAGAAGACTATTGGGATGGCACCTTTTGAGGCGTTATACGGTCGACCGTGTCGATCACCTGTTTGTTGGATGGAGGTTAGGAAAGAATCGATTCTTAGGTCCTAAGTTCATCAAGGATACCTCTGAAAAGATTGCTCTTATTCGAGATCGCATGCGTACTGCCCAAAGTAGGCAGAAGAGCTATGCTGATCGTCGCACTCGTGCTTTAGAGTTTCGGGTTGGAGATTGGGTTCTACTCAAAGTATCATCTATGAAAGGTGTTATGCGCTTTGGGGAGAAAGAAAAGTTGTTACTGCGATTTGTCGGTCCATTCATGGTTACGGATCGACTTGGAGCTGTGTTTTATAGGTTGGCATTGCCGGATAATTTGGATCGCATACATAACATATTTCATGTTTTCATGTTGCGGAACTTTCTGCAAGATGAGAATCGGTATCAGCATATCGATGTTGGGGAGATTGAGTTGCAGCTGGATGCAACTTATTTGGAGCCACTGTGTCGTATTGTAGCTCGTCGGGATCAAATCCTTCGTAATAAGGTTGTTTCTGTGGAGTCATCATAATGAGACTGAGTCTACTTTGGAATGGGAGGATGTCATTCGCTCACAATTTCTTGAATTACGGGAAGAAGGTAAGAGCGAATTCCGAGGACGGAATTCCTGTTATTAGGGGGGAAGAATGTAATACCCCTGATTTAACAAGGATAATTCTGAAATTTATTTAATTATTTAACTTGTGTTTTATTGATTTTAGTTGTGAATTTGTTGATTAAGTGTGACTTTATTTGTTTTTATTTATTTCGTGGTGGTTTGTTAACAAGGATAATTCTGAAATTTATTTAATTATTTAACTTGTGTTTTATTGGTTTTAGTTGTGAATTTGTTGATTAAGTGTGAATTTATTTGTTTTATTTATTTCGTGGTGGTTTGTGAATTAATTAATTAGTTTTTATTTATTTAGTGGTGGTTTATGAATTAATTAATTAGTTATTAAATTGTATTTTATTTTCTGTTTTACGTTAACTTGGAATTTTATTGGTTATTTAATTGAATTAATAATTAAATGTTTTAATTAATGACTAGGTATAAAGGTGTGGTTAGGGTTTTAGTTCTGTTTAGGTTTAATGTAATGAGCCGACAGGGTTTATAAAATAGGTTGTGTTTATGGGCCGAGTTGCAGACTTTGGATATAATTAGACTTAGGTTTTTGGTTGCCTATAAATATGTAAGATAAGTCTGCTTAGGGTTTTAAGAAAAGTAAAACCTATACCCGTTGTGGAGACAGAAGAAACAGAGAGGAGAAAAACCAACGGGGCGCCGGGAAAACTTAGAAGAAAGACGTTGAGATTTCTGAACCGAGTCTCACAGGCAAGTTTTATAACTAGCTCTACCTCTTTGACCTGTGTTCTTTGCATCCTTAACACAATCTCAGGATGAAATAAGGATTAAAATAAATCTGGTTCGCATGCTTGCATTGTTGAATAAGCATATGTTTATGAACTGTTAAAGTGTTCGTTTTACAGTGTGTTCGTTTTACTGTTTTGTTTTACTTAATTCATGATTTTAATGGTTTCAATTGAAGGATTAAGAGTCTTATTAGTTCTAAAACATATTGGGAAATCTTAAAATTAATTCGGATCACAAGGCTAAATACTTGAAACAGTATATGTTCTTGTACGGGTTTTAATCCGTTTTTAAACTGTTTTTGCTTGATTCTTGTTCCATATGATTTGGTTAATAAGTTATGAATTTAATTAACTTTGGAACACCCTAAGACTTAGTTTTAATCCGTAATAAACTTAGTTGGAGGAATACAGATGCCGGACACCGCCGGAACTGGAGAAGACGACGCACAGGGGAAGGAGCCTGCTCTATTTCAAGTAGAGCAGGCTCAATTAAAAAGTGGAGCAGGCTCTACTTTGTAGTAGAGCCGGCTCTACTTGGTAGTGGAGGCGGCTCCACTTTGTGTGGAGCCGGCCCCCTCAACAGGTTTCAGTTTTTCGCCTTTTCGGTGATGGTTTTGGCTACGGGTTTCAGAATTTGATGTTTTCAGATGCTATTAGGAGCTATGCAGGGATGTTTCAGTAGCATCTAAGTCCTATTAGAAATTCTGAAGGTGTGATGATATATAATAAATTACAAAGAAATCGGTAGATTTAAGCCGTTATAGTTTCAAGTGAACTTGTGGACTGTTCCTGGAGGCAGAGGGTTTTAAGTGCATAACCCTATGAGTTGCAATTTATCTGGGAATGGTAATATTGTTAAATCATCTTTCTGTAATTTAAGTTAAGTTTATTAGATTACAGAATGATTATGTATATTCATAAGTGACAGTAAGACACTTTTAAGGAAGTTTACATGGTTGAAATTTTGTAGATGATTCAAGTTGATTAATTTTAAATTAGCAACTGAATTAGGAGTTTGATATGTAAATCATATATCAGTGGTATGGGATTAAGCCCATTAACTAATATAAATTCAGTTAATACTTAATATGAAACTAGTTGATGTTACCAAGAATCTGTTTATGTCAACTTGTGGGATGTTGTGGAGTAATTACAAGTAAGCATGTATATACTATGGTTATTATTAGTATGCTTATTGTGAGTTACAGGATGATTATATTTCTTCTCTGCACTTAAAAATTTGTCAGAGAATCAGGTACTGGATGTATTGAACAAGCATGCTAATTAAACATTCTTGTTATGCTTATGATTGGATATGTTGATATTGATATGTTATGCTATCATATATATATATTATCAATACTGGATGGATGGTTTGTATGCACCGGTATGGGACGGTGTCATACTAGGGGGATTAGCTCAAAAATGCTAAGTCCTACCTACTCTGGATTAAGGGACGGATTAACTACAAAAGTTAAGTCCTACCTATATTTTGTGTCAGATCAATAAATAATTGAGTGGCACTTTGGTTTGGAATGGAATTTAAATATATTTTTATGATGCCACGATATGAGCCTGAGTCTCAGAGTCATTGGTTAGGGAGCGTATATGCATTGGGATGCATAGCTGGCTATGATGGTTGGATGTGTACCCTGCTAGGATTAGGTAGTCATGCCCACCTTTGGGTGCGTTTTCGCATGGTGCCGACTAGTCAGGTTGAGACGGGCCTGTAGTCCAGTGAGAGTCCTGTAGTGTGATTATATATATATTTATCTACGGACTATTAGCTATTGTTGGATTGGTTAGGATGTACATGCGTATCGGGTCTCTGCTTGGGTAGTAGTAGTATAGAACTTGCATGTGGGCCTGACCCACTCATCATTTTTCAGGTATCGGACATTTCCAGTCTAGAGCTTGTTCGTGCTGAGTAGAGATGGTCTTCCATTCTACCGACGACGTAGGACTTCTTTCTAGATATTAGAGTTGGATTTTATCTTTAGATATTACTTTCATTCAGTTTGGGATTTTTATTAGGGGTCCACTAGAGATGGATTCCCGAGTTGTTAAACTGATGGAGTTTTGGATTATCAGATTCTAAGTATTTAATTATAAAGGATTTTACTTTTAGTTTCTTCCAGCTTAAACTTTATTTATTAAATTCATTTTGTCATCTGTGTTCGTATTACATATTAATTGTCTGATATCCCTCGGGCTCGGGCCGGACCTGATCAACCCGTGTCTCGGATCCGAGGGGTATCACATATGTCAACAGAGTTTAGACATTTAATACATAATCAATGCATTATAGATATATATTTAAATATTTACTTATATTTTTATCATTTTTTTTAACTGGACTAATAATTGTTTTTACCTCTTCCACCCTTCCTTCTTGTAGCTACTTTACTGGATTGGAGTTTGATATCTCTTGTTGATTTGGTAGCTTTTCTTCTCATTAGATTCACAGCACCAAAAAGAGGTAAGCTTCTTATGCACACCCACCTTTTCTGGTTCAGTCTTTATCATTATGTCATTTCCCCTACTTTTAAATATACATGCATAGCATAAGTTCAGAAGAATATCTACATCTTTTACTCTTATTGAATTTAGGATTTATAGAATAAGAAAACACAATTATTAGTGAAATTTTGTGAGTAAGAGTGTTTCCCTTCTCTTATCACATATGTGTATATATATACAATTGCTATTACAATGAAATGACCATATTTCCCTTTAGTAAAATACCTAATATTATAACATTTATCACCAATTTCTCCTTTCTCTTCTTGTTTTTTATTTTTTATATTTTGATTCAGTATTCTTTATTAAATGTGTGAACTTCTCGTAGGGCTTTCCAGCATTTATGCCATATTAACTATATGTACGTTTCCTAGGAACTAAGTAAAACCTAAAATCATAAGCTCTTTCTAGCAAATGTATAAAAGGGGAATAAACATATTGTAATAGTATAAACATTCATGAATCAGTAGTTGTGATAGAGTAACTTTAATACCATCAATAGTTTTTCCTAGTTTAAAATTATTATTTTTTTTGTTATTAATTATAGTGTTGTTATTAATATGTTAGATGGATATGAATGTTGAGAATGTGGAACAATGCGGTGATTCTCTCACAATTGAAGAAGTGGTTGAAGTTACGAACGATGGAAAATTGTTATGGGATGAGTCACTCATTGAAAAATTCATGAATATTATGGTGGAAGAAGTTAAAGCTAATAATCGTAGTGGCACAACATTTAGTAAAAGTGGTTGGACTAATTTAGTCAAACAAATGAATGTTCAAATGGGGAGAAAATTTGGTTTAACCCAACTTCGGAATAAGTTTAATGCTTTGAGGAAAATTTATACTGAGTTTAAGAAATTATTATCGGAGACTGGCGTGGGATATAACCATGAGACGGGCATGGTTATAGTTGAGGAAGAGAGATGGGACAGGTTGTACAAGGTTAGTAATTTAATTATTAGTCCTAAATAAATAATAAAATCTTGTATATTATTGGTTATGTGGTTAATATTATAACAAAATTTGTAGGTTGTTACGAATGCAAATAAGTATAAAAAGTATGGATGTAAGCATTTTGACAAGATGTCGACTATATTTGGGGACACATATGCAAAAGGGATGCATGCCCACCCATCCACTACAGCACCACCCACAATCATTTTGCCCACTCCCAATGGTGACGATGATCAGGAAGAGGGTTGTGAGGTCAGTCCCCCACCTTTACGTAAAGGTAAGAAAGCCAAAAGAGATGCTTTATCTCCTGGTATAGCTGCACTCTTGTCAAACATGAATGAGAATTCTGAGAGGAGAGCTGAGAGAATGGAAGCTGCAATAGAGAAAGCAGCTAAAGCATCTTCTACTTCTACTCGTGTATCTTCATGTGAGAAAGGAGATGATGAAGCTCTCTCTCCCTCAAAAAATGATAGAGATTATGAAATGTTTGATGCCTCTATGCTCCTTTTACAAAAAATACCTGGAATTGAGATGGCCCAATTCGCTAAGGTATCGAAGTTATTACATGATTCTGAGAAGTGGCAGAAATTTTTTCTTTCGGCACCTGAGGATGTAAGAATTGGTTGGGCATTGAATGTTTGAGTTTTTCTTTATGGATGATTGTGTTTTGTGTCATCGTTTAACTTATTACTATCTCACATTTGGATGACTGTAATAACTTAAATACTTTTATTATCTCACATTTGGATGACTGTAATAACTTAAATATTTTTATTATCTCACATCTGGATGACTGTAATAACTTAAATACTTTTATTATCTCACATTTGGATTACTGTAATAACTTAAATATTTTTATTATCTCACATCTGGATTGCTGTAGTAACTTAAATACTTTTATTATCTCACATTTGGATGGCTATAATAACTTAAATAATTTTATTTCTTGGATGCCTGTTAGTACTCAAATACTTTAATACCATTATTTAAATGTTTGTTTTATTATTTAAATGTTTTGTTTATTATTTAATTGATTTGCTTATTAACTTAAATGTTTTGCTTGTATTAAATCTTTAAATAGGGTAATGGATATGTGGAACAATATAAGAAGAATAATTCAATTATATGACGATGAGGAAGACAATGAGAGTGTCTTAATATTTGCTGCTCTTTTAGAAGAGCAGAACTTCTATCAAAAGAGGCGTTGTAGGGATTCCATTTTACAAGGGGAAACATATGTTATGGAGATTTTAAACGGCCATAGAGAAAGATGTTATGAAAATTTTAGGATGTACCCTGAAGTTTTCAGAACATTGTGTAGTACCCTGAAAGGTATAGGGCTGAAGGATTCTAAATTTTTAACTGTTTATGAACAAGTGGCAATCTTTTTGCTCACTTTATCTCATAATCAAAGGAATCGTGTTGTAGCAGAGAGATTTCAACACTCCACTAAAACCATTTCTAGACACTTCCATGCTGTGTTGCATGCAGTATGTCAGTTGGGCACCCATATCATTGCCCCTCCTAATTTTTCTGTGATTCCGAATAAGATTAGAGAGTGTTCTAGGTTTTACCCTTACTTCAGGCATTGTGTGGGAGCTATAGATGGAACCCACATTCCTGCAACTTTGCCAGCAAGTATACAACTTCCATTTCGTGGTAGAAAGGGTTATACTACACAAAATGTAATGGCTGTATGTGACTTTGACATGAGGTTCACATATGTGCTAGCTGGGTGGGAAGGCTCAGCTAATGATTCGAGAATCCTAAATGAGTGTACTGAAAATGAGGCAATGAACTTTCCAGCTCCACCAGCAGGTAATATTATTTTACAAATTCACTTAATATATGGTTAGTTTATCATACTGTATATATCTTTATGTATTCTAAACATGGCAGGTAAGTATTATTTGGTGGACTCAGGGTATGCCAATAAGCCTGGTTATTTGGCCCCATTTCGAGGTCATACTTACCACTTTCAGGATTACCGTAGGACTAGACAACCTCGTGGTCGGGAGGAAGTGTTCAATCATAGGCATTCATCTTTGAGAAATATAATTGAGCGATGCTTTGGGTTATTGAAGATGAGATTCGCTATTTTGAGGGCAATGCCTCCTTATAAGTTTTCAACACAAGTATTGATTGTAATGGCTTGTTGCACATTACATAATTTCATCAAAAATCAGCATCAGCCTGATGACATATTTGATGGTAATGATCCTCCTCAAAGTGATGGTGAAGATGATGAGATTGTTGAGCATGTGCCTTCGGCTCAGCTTCGAGAAATGGATCAGTTGCGTAATACTATTGCTGATCAAATTTGGAATTCTCTTCAGCACTCTTGATCCTTCTGAAAGTGATGGTATATGTTTTCTTTCATATGTAATATATTTGTTGCTATTGTGAGCTTGCAATATATATATGTAATATAAATCTTTTTTACAGATATATAATTCAACTTAAATGCTATTATTGCAGATATGAAGTGTGTTGATGCTCTCTTGAAGGCCACATGTGTTGTTATGAAGATGATGTGTCGTTGTCATTGTCATCCACTTTATGAACTTCTTATCAATTTTTAGTGACAACTATGTATTGTTAATGCTTTGTTCCAAACATTTTATGTACAACTTAAACTTGTTTAATTTGTTGATTGAATATTTAAGGACTTGTAAATGTTATACACTCTATTTCAATTATGTTTTCAATTGAGTTTGTTTTTATTTTAATGTTGTGTTGGACTATACAGGTATCAGGATAATAAAATTGAAGCAGGTTATTGCAAAGAACTTGTAAATAGGTTATTGCAAAAAATTTTTACAAATATTGACTCTCATGTAATATTGTAAAATGTGACTAGAGATTATTTATTTTTAATGTTGAGTTGGACTATACAGGTATAATCATAATAAAATTGAAGCAGGTTATTGTAAAGAACTTGTAAATAGGTTATTGCAAATTTTTTTACAAATGTTGACTCTCATGTAGTATAGTAAAATGTGACTAGAGATTATTTATTTTTAATATTGAGTTGGACTATACATGTATAATGATAATAAAATTGAAGTAGGTTATTACAAATAACTTGTAAATAGGTTATTACAAAAATTAATATATATATAATTTGGTGGGGGTTTACATTTTTTTACAAAAGAGAAGGCAAGAATCGGTATTTTGGAGTTAAATTCCCACCAATGCAAACTTATAAGAGTCGAAAATTATTATCAGAGCTGTGTAGTATTTTTTTTTTCTTCTTTCGCTAATGCGAAAAATGGGCAAAATGAATGAAACACCTTAAAAACAATGATAACCAAACATGTTTTTTGTTTTTGTTTTATTTTGTTTACAACAGTTGGAGCTACTAAACATGTTTTGTTTTTAAAATTCTTGAAACGCATGACTTACCAAACATGTTTTGCATGTTTTTGTTTCCGACATTTCTACAGTAAAAGATCGTTTCCAAACATGTTTCCGATTTTTGCCAAAACACTCCAATAGTAAAAACGCTATTTCTGTTTTAGCCAAAAACAAAACGCCTAAAGTAAAACGCATGCCGAACGGGCCCTTAGGTTCAAAGTCCAAATTGAACCTTCCCACCAGTTGCAAACTTCTAAAATATGCTGCTTATCACGTCAATGCAGTTGCTCCGAATAACCTTCTCTTCATAGTCTTTATGCTAGCCAATAGTGCACATTCCAGGAACCATGACCAGTCCGTCACTAAACAACACTCCCACCCACTTGGAGTAACATGATATGAGTAGCATGCAGCCAATATTCTCCTCACTAAGCAAGAAGCATAAAGGTCTTCAAAAATGGTTTGATGCACAACTTCTTAATCTCTCAAGAATAAATTCTGTTCCTAAACTCTCAAAGGTATTTCTCCAAAATCCTTAAACTCTTGTTTATAGTTTTAGAGGATTACAAATGTTCAGAAATCAAATATTCCATTCCTGCAAGGAAACTCTTCAACTATCTTCCTCGGAAAAATTAATTATATCTGCAAGTCTAGTTCGGTCAGTCCATGCTACAGGACGTCATGGGATCAGTTCCACTATTGTCTCAATCAATCAACAGCCAGCCTAGTGGTACCAAACTCCTACTTTTCAAAAAGAAGTCAGGGATTCTAATCTCCGTGAAGGCATGTGTGTGTGAGCACCCAACTAGAAAAAAATATATATATATATCTACTGGTCACATCAGTTGATTTTCTAAAACATTCAATTGACCACCACTAACTCTATTGGTCAAGGAGCTACTGCTTTGATTATTTTTTATCAACCAAATAGCTAATGGTCAATTGATCGAGTTTTATGTAAAAATCATTTTTGAAAACCAGCGTGCCTCAATCAAAGCGTTGATCGATCAAGGTCAGCAGTAGTCATTGATTGAAGGGTCGATCCATGGAACCTAACGGATATTTTTTTATTATAAAAAAACTCTTTTAACGCACAATTTTACAAGGATTTTACTTACTAGAATGTATGGGCCACCTCTGTTGGCTATAAAAATGGATTTATAGTTAATCTAGACATGTTTTTGAAATCTTTAATCATATAGAGAGAGAAAGACCTTGAGAGAGAAGAAATCACAAATTAGCCAACCTAGGTTTCAATGAATTTCGCCATATGTGATCGAGTGTTCATCAAGGAGTAATTCAGTAGTCTGATCACTAGAAAAGTGTAATCATGAGGGGCGAAGTCTGTTGAGGATCAGAAGGATAGCCTAAAGACCTGTATGAGAATTTTTGAAGTCAATTTGTGTCCAAGTTAACTAGGGGTTCTAGGGTGTGGGAATCATCAACCTACTTTTCCCATTTGGAATTTCATGTAAAAATTGGTGCGTCCATGCTCTACTTTATTTTCTATTGATGCATAATTGTTAGTATGCTTGATGAAATTTAAATATATATATATATATATAATTCAAATAACAGTCACAACTAACTAACATAATTCAAATAAGGATTAACGGTAATATGAAGGGTTAGTAATTGCAAAATAATATCCAAAATACCTACGGTCCATGTCAGTTAGGACAACAAATAAAAGTATCACACAAGAAACTCCGAGCAATAAACACTTCCAATAAAATTGATCTGATGGGTCAAATACACACTGATCATATTGGTGGTAAGAAGCATATTTTAGTTATGAATTTCTAGGGTATATTTTCTAAGAGAAACGTCAAATACCTTTAATAGTTTTAATACAATTTGTCAAAGAATCCAAAATGAGAAAGGATATTAAATTGACAAAACTAGAAGTGATAGAGGTAGAGAATTCTATGATGAAAAAATTGATTATTGCAATGAAATAGGAATAAAACATGAACTCCATACATCTATAGCACAAGTAAAATGACTGTAGAAAGATGTAATTTACCTAGTTTGATCTTGGTGAGGTTAACAAATTTTATTTAAAATGTCTTTTTGAAAAATGGATTTTCAAATATAAGGTTCCATAACTTTTTCGAAACTATATTTCAACTGAATAACAGTGTGCATCGATCGATCTAACATCTTTCAAAAGCCATCGATCTAGTTGTGACTGCACATTATTTTTGAAAACAAAAGTGCCTCAATCAAAGTGACTGTCAATCAAGGTGAGTCCAATAGTCATCGATTGAAAGGTCGATTGATTAACAAACTAGTGTTCCCCAAGTTTGTGAGGAGCGAAGTCTTTTGGCGAGCGGACGAACAACATGAAGACTTGTGTGGAAAGTTTGGCATCAGTCTATGTCTATAGGTAACTAGGGGTTTTAGATTGTGAGATTCTCAAACTAGTTGCAACTTTTTTTTTCTTATAGTTAAAAGGGTTAAATGCAAAAAACCCCCCTGAACTATTGGGGGTTTTGCAACT